TAGAAAAAAAAATTTAATTAAAATAAATATAAAGATAAATGATATTTAAATTGGAAAAAGACAAAAGTTTATAGACGAATGATAAAAAAAAAGGTATATAAATTGAAAAAACAAAAGTTAGAAAGATTATAGAAACCTCAATTTAAAAGTTTAAAAATATATACAACCATGCAAAAATAAAATAAAAATAAAATCTATAAGAATACTTATTTTATCAATGTAGAGTTATAAAATATCACAAAGAAAATAGAAATATTCGACTTATGATGCCATTGATACTCTTCAAGTGTATATATTGAAAATTTATATAAGTTAAAAGTAATTATATTATATTTACTATTAAGTTAATAATGTATAAAATTTGGCGAGTATAAATCTCTATGAGAAATAAAACGATGAGATTAATAAAATACAATTATCAATCATGTACTTATGTGATAGTTTTTATGACGTTAGTAACATAAAATTTACTCATTTCTTATTTAACTATATAGTTTTGAGAAATTTTAAAAAATACCACTTTTCAAGTGCCACTTTACAAAAATTCTACATTTTTACAATCTTTACAAAATTGCCACTTTTTCAAAATTATTTATTCATTATATCATTTATGTTTGGGTTAACTATGTTGTATTAGAACATAATTAACCCAAACATAAATAATATAAAGAAAATATAATTTTGAAAAAGTGGCATTTTTGTAAAGATTTCAAAAGTGTGGCATTTTTGTAAAGTGGCAGTTGAAAAGTGGCATTTTTTGAAATTTCTCAATTAATAATTATATCAAATTACAATTAAGTGTTTTGTGTAATTTATGTAATTTTTATGTAAATTATAATATAATTTTTATGTACATCAATGTATAGAAAATAAATATTTTATTAATAAAATCTAACAATATCCTATAAAAAAACACGTATTTTTTTTTGCTTTTTATAGAGGTTATTGCGATTTAAAAAAAAATCATAAAAGAATAGTTTTAATAAAAAGAAGCATACATGAACAAAAAAAAAGAAGATGACGTGAAAAAATTAATTAAAGAATGATTTTCTGATTTTTAGGGCTGTTAAATCCAACAAGTCTAATTGGAAAAATTTAGAACTTAAATATTTTTAAATGTTTTCATAGCTTTTAAAATCATATAACATTGTATATGTCCAATAATTTGATACAAATGCTTAGGCTTATAAGTTAGGGGCAATTACAAAAATAAAATTTTTTGTGTGCACATTTGCAAGAATGTCACTTAGGGGTGTTCATTTACAAAAATGCCACTAATTATAGATTTATAAAGCCTATATCTTAAAATTTTAAATCCTAAAAAATATTTTGACACCTAAAACCCCCTAAACACTCAAAACTAAACCCTAATAGAACATAATTAACCCAAACATAAATAATATAAAGAAAAAATAATTTTGAAAAAGTGGCATTTTTGTAAAGATTTCAAAAGTGTGGCATTTTTGTAAAGTGGCACTTGAAAAGTGGCATTTTTTGAAATTTCTCTATAAGTTATAACATAGATAATTATTTACTATACACACCA